CGGCGTGTCGTCCTCCCTGGCGTTAATCGGGTTACTGTGAGGTGTGGGAGGGTTCTATTATTAAATTTAAAACCTGGCTATATAAGATGAAGGCAGCTTTAACGAGATGAAAAGGCTTAACTGGAGTCCAATTAAATTCCGTATTACCTGTTTACGCAGCCTGCTTAAGTCCTGACCCGCACGCTGGTTTCTTCTTTAGGCTCCAAAGCCTGTGCTCTAGGCAAAAAAGTAAAATCAAAGGAGACAGGTAGATACCAGATCACCAGCATGTCCTGGGCACCCCCGCGTGCTCCTTCCAGAGGCAGCTGCCCTCAAGTCTTTTGCTGCTCCTACAGATCTCTCACAGGTGTGAGATCAGCCAAAATCCTCTGGTCCGGTGTTCTGAAGAGGAGAGAGGGCAAAACCAGCTCAAAAAGGAAATACTCAGCCATCCTTAGTTTGGTTTTAGGTCTGTGCTATGAAGATACTTTTGCTCTCCCCATCTCACTGCTGGGTTGATGGGGGCTGTGCCTGACCAAGCAGCCAGTGCTGGTGGTGCTTCCCATGAATGGAGCATCCTCTCTGCTTCCTACCACTCTTGGCATGTTATTTTAATTAAAAATGTTTGGTGAAAGCCAGCATGAGATGCTGGGGCGAGCTGCTCGCCTGGAGTGTGCGGTGGGGACACCAGCTTGCATTTAATGGCAGAGTTACTACCACCAGTTGGAACCTGTTTTTCATGGATGGCTCATAGGAACCACTGCTGGTGTTGGTGAAACATGGCAGGTTTGGGTGGGTGGTGAGCTCGGCCAGTGCCCTGCCACCATTATGACACTGAGAGCCTTGCAGGAAGGGGTGCGGTGCCTTAGCCCCAACCTTCAGGCTGCTCTTCAAGGTCCACAAGTGGGGATGAGGAGGAAGAATGCCTTGCAGCAGCCCCGTGTGTGGACAACACATGCAGAAAGCTCTTGACTTCCCAAGCCCTCTCTCATAGGGCGCTGTCTTTTATTAGGCTGGGAGCTGGGGGCAGGCACGTTCTGGCAGTGAGGGTAATTTCAACCCACCTGCTCTGGTTTCTAAATTCAGCCCCCAAAACCCCGGCGGGGCCTCGGCGGTGCCTCACGGCGGCTCCGGGCCCGAGCGTGCGGCAGGGCGGGGGGCAGGAAACGGCTCGCCGCACCCTGCTCGCAGCAAACCCTCACGCCCAGCAAAGACCTCAACCCTGCAGTAAAGAAAGTAAATAAATAAAAGCACTGGCCCGCAGCTCCTCCCAGGGCTGTGGGACAGCGGAGGTGAGCTGTGTTCCCGGCTCAGCCGGCCTGGGAAAGCAAATGTGGATGTCACCGAGGTGCGCCGGAGGCTGGGGAGCGGTGTGGGGCAGCCACGCCGGTGCTTCTTCCCTGCTGCTCTTCAGCACAGTTAATACAGCAGAGTAACCTGGTTTCTCCGGGAGGATTAGGTTAAGAAAACAAGATGGTTTTAATAGCCCTTTTACATCCTGCATAGATTGTAGCTGAAGACCCTAACCAGCTTTGTAGCACAGCCAGACAGCGCATCTTTTCCTTTTTTCCTTTTTTTCCCCTCCACAACCTGATGCCAGTGGTCCTGCGCAAGTGGGCTCCTATTGATAATTCAAGTGCCCAGCTCCTGGCTGTGCTGTTTTGTCCGATTTCCATTGCCTCCTGACCTCCATCCTTCTTTATTTGCAAAGCTATACTCGCAGGCAGCGGTAATAAATCAATTAATGACTCTGATGAATCGTTTAATGGCTGACAAAATAACACTACAGTCAACAGCTTGGATCTCTACAGCAGTACCAGAAGATGCTGGTTGACTCAGGGTAGGGAGACGAAACAGAGACTGTTAGCTCAATTAGTGCAATTAGTGTGCGATTTAAAGGCTTAGACGGCATCTGCTGGCATACCAGGCCGGTGTGTTAACTGAGAGCTTCGGTTTGGAAGCGAAACACGGTGATCCAGATTGTCATCATTCCACTGGCTTCCACCAAAAAAAGAGGAAAAATACCAACGTATGTGGCAGGGAATTAAAAATACATATGTGTGTTTGTGTATATAGCTATACATGTGCGCCACAGGAACACATATATATTGATTTCCAACGTGGGGAAAATTTGCCATCTTACAAAAGGCAAATGAGCTGGCATGCCAGCATTGCCAGAGATGTCCTGGCTCGTTTCTGGCAGTGGTTTCCATGTGTTTCAGTGGAAGGAAATTCGGGGTGTCACATGCCAGTGGGGACCTTGATGTGGCTGATGTGCTTCTGGTGCAGCTCCAGCTTGGATGTGGTGGCACAGCAGTTCCATGCCTATTTTCTGCCAGCTTCCATGGCAACTGCACATTGTACCTTCACCAGGGAGGTTTGATGGGTTTTAGATGTTCACCTCAGAAACGAGCTTTGGAAAGCAAACTGCAACCAGGAGTCCCTCAAAAGAGTTTCTGGGACAAAATGTTGAAAATAAATCATATGGGAGGAGCTGTGTGGCCAAAAAAGTCCTGGAAATGGGTGCTGGATTTGTGCGTTGACCCTTAGGGTTTGGGTGCTCACCCTTAAGGTTTGGAAAAGTTGTTCCTGTTGTCTGTTCTTGCCTTTTTTTCTTTCATTTCTGGCATGCCCAAGTGTTTTACAGAGCTGCTTTAGCCACAGCTGTGCTCCCATTGCTTCACCAGGGCTAAAGGTGCCTCAGTGTTTACCTTAGCAGCGGTGATGGGGAGGGGAATAAAAAAAGAAATAAAATGTCACTTCGCAGCCTTGTAAATCATTCATCAAGGGCTGACCAATTTGGCTCTCATCCTACAATATGCTCAGGGTACTTGCGGGTTTTTAATTACCAAGTTCTGCCAAGCGCCACATGTGCGAGGAACTTTAAATCCCCGTTTATGCTGCGAAGGCATAGGTGAGGTTTCAGGGTGTTTAACACGGAAAAATACTCTGTGGTTTTGTGGAAAAATAGGCATTTGCTTCAAGATTTTCTTTGGCTCCTCTGCTCTCCTCCCTCTGCTCCCTGTTGCAGAAGGGAAGAGCAGCGTCCTTTCCCCCCAGATCCTCAAATCCGTGTTCTTCCTCACTCCCCATCACTTTGGGATCCATTTTGCTTTGGGAGATTCCCCAAGCAAAGGATTATAGTGTGCTGGAAATCTCTTGAAACCATAAAATATCACCTTGGCAGCTTTATTGCAGTGCTTGCCGCCTTGGGAGAGAAGCGTTTTGCGTGATAGAGGGTTTAATAAAGGAAATTCCAAATGGGCTCGCTGCAGTTTGGGGCTCAGTCTTATATATTTTTGCATTAAGAACAGTCATCTGCTTTGCAGAGAAACTGCAATATGTTCATGGCCTTGGATTAAGATTTGGTTTTACTTTTATAGCTGACCCACTTGGGGGGATGGAGGGAGGGGGAGAAGTGGGTTCACTCCCTCTCCCATCTATTTTTGCTGCCGTCTGATGTATAAAAAGAGCCTGGAATGGGCAGGCTTATTTTTCCTGCCAGGACTTTTTTTTTTTATTAACTGTAAAAACATTCAGATCTGGCCTTTGCTGCTGATGGGGGGAAGGCTGTTCAGGATGCCTTGTTCAGGGGCACGGGAGGGAGCGTGGTGTGGGGGTGCAGGACCCAGTAGCCTCAGGGGGAATTGGTTATTTCATGAAGGGAGGCTCTTACTAGGGAATCAGCCTCCACTGCTGTCTGTGACACTTGCAGCTCTGAGATGCTGGGGTGGGAAAACCACCCACTCATCTGGCATAGTCCTGGCCTTCATCCCACATCCTGCACGCCAGCTCCTGCTGGAGAACGTGGTGAGGGGCACAAGGGATGCCCTGGGAAGGCACAAGGCAATGATTAGTCTGGTGCTCCCCTGCCTCTGCAAGGCTTTCTGGTCAGGAATAGCAGGATTGCCGACCAAACATGGGGATCCTATCTTGGCAATCCTTAGTTCTTAGTAATAATCCTTAATTTTCCAGGCTGCCCTGACAGCCTGGCTTCCCCCTCTGCTCACATCTTGTGGTTGTTGCTGCATCGGATGCGGTTGGGAGCCGGGGCTGGCTCGGCTGCTGTTGGGACGTGGGGTTTGTTGGGTGAAACCAAGCCTGAGCAGGCTCACATGTACCCCATCTGTTCATGGGATTTCCTCTGTAGAAATTTTTTCCACTATGGTTTTAGGTGGGTACATCCATCATAAAAATTGGTGGAGGGAGTAGTTCAGCAATCCAAATCCAATTAACACCACTGAGGTGCCTTTGTAACTTCCCTGTAACTGGAATGGGGTCACTTGGTGTTGGGCAAGCTGGGGTGCACTTGGATGGCACGGGTACTGCTCCTAATCTCACAGGGAGGTGTCACCAGCAGTGGCTTTTAGAGAAAGATATTTTTCTTTATTTTCTTTGAGCTTACCATCACACTGGTGCTTTCCCAGAAGTGAATAAATGCAAATAGGGATGCTGACAGGAACGAGTGGGGTGTCCAGGTACCCCATATCTGTCCCCATTTCTCTTTTTGGGCCTGGAGCTGTGCTGGTGGCTCATTCTAGGGAGGCACAAGAGGGAATGTGGCTCCACAGGTTGAATGCAGTGAATTTGGAAATTAATAATAAAGCCTTGGCATGTTGGTGAGGTCAGGGAAGCATAATTTTCAAAGGACAGGGCTAAACCAGCAAACCTGGTGGGGAGGTGGGAGAGAGAAGCATTTTAAAGCTTTCAAACAGCTTCTGCCTAAAATTACATTTTGAATGTGGTTCCTTGGTGGATTAACAAGACTCAGTGCCTGGGTAAATGAATAAACAAAACCCAGAATCATCTCCAGGTTCTGTGTGGCCATCTCCTCCGTGGGTGAGTCACAGAGGCCGGTGTCCCTCCAGCTGTGAGCATCCTGCACTGGTTCCTGCACCGGGGAAGATGCTCAGGGAGATACAAGGCTGATTGGCTCGGTGGGATGTGGCAGGAGAGGTGGCATTTTTAATGTGCTTTTGTCATAACTCTGACCATGTTTGCCCTGGTTTTGTTCCCCACAGAGCGCAGCTGCTGCCCCGAGTCCCGTGCTTGGAAACATTCCCCCGAATGACGGGATGCCCGGGGGCCCCATCCCGCCCGGGTTCTTCCAGGTAGGCTGCGGCTCCTCCCGGTGTCCCTCCACACCGCGCACGTGTTTGCTTTCGCTCTGGGTGTCAGCGCTGTCGTGCCTGTGTTTTGGTTTTTTGTTTGTTTTTTTTTTTTTTTTTCCCCCAAGAGGATGCTAGGGGAGCAGCATGCCTGCACAGCTGACCTGTCTAGGAATAATTCGTGTTCTGCTGTCCTTCCACGTTTGCTTTCTATCTTTTGTGGCCTTAAAGCAAATTCCTTTCTTGCTCGAAGAGGTTACTGTGTATTTACAACCAATGTTTTTTTTCCAAGCTGCTTGGTTTGTGTTTGGGTTGGGATTGTATTTGTTCTCCAGTCCTAACAGACGTGTGTAATTGAAAACATTCTGGATTTTGATTCCTGAAACTTTTTCCCCCTCCTCTGGTTAACCACTTGATTTTTTCCAAATGCAATCACTGAATGCATTAACAAACCCTGGCTGCGGCTGCAGGCGGGAGTGGGCTCCAGCCAAATCCCTGAATGCCGTGGAGGCACCTTGTAAGCAAATACCCAGCAAAGTCCCCAAAGTCCCTTTGCTCCTTCCTTATCCCACAACAAGCTCCCACAGAGGAGGGGGTAACGTGTTTGGAGTGATGCTGACAGAAAGGAGATCAACAAGCACAAAGAAAAGGAGTTTTCAAACCTTGCACGTTGGGGGTTTTTTCTCAGGAATCTCTTTGCCCGGATTGAGCTGCACTGGTTTGCAGCAACATAAGCTTTTGGTGCTTTAAAATCCTCCTGCTCGAGGATGAAACACTTGTTCGTGTAAAAAAATGGGATAAGAGTCGAAAGGAGTATTTGTTTTGGCAAGCTGGGCTTTTTTTAATCTGGGCTTTTGATTTGTATATGGGAGAACTTCTCGGGCAGTAGACAGGCGAGCTCGATAAGGAGCTTGTGATTTATTGTGGCGATATCTGAGCCCGGTATCGCCGATTGCATTTGTGTGGGAAGGGGGAAGGAGGGTCCCGTCTTTTTTTTTGAGAGAGAAGGAGAGATCCCATTTCCTGAACATGCTTCTGACAGAGTAAGAATATCCGATATTGATCGGGAGCCCTAAAACAGGCAAATCTTGTAGCGGCGCTCGGCAGCAGGGGGTGAAGCCGACGGCGGAGATGCAATCTCGCAGGTCAGAGCTGCTGCCAGCAATCCGAGTGCCAAGCTGCTGCTTCCAACAAATGTGTCTCCAAAACGTCCTGATCTCGCCCCGCGGTGAAGCTGACTGTCCTTTGGGGCTTCTGTCACGCCGAGCTGCGAGGGCTGCAAAACTGGCATGAATTTAGGGCAAGGCATCGAGAGGATGGGTTGGCTTTCCCAGAGTGGGAAAGGTGAGGAAGAGGAGTCACATCTCTCCAGACTTTTACTGTTCATATTGCCGTCTCGACTCTTCCCGTTGACAGCCTCCAAGCTGTCCCCCCTTTTTTTTTTCCTTTCTGCCCTCCTGTAGCACTTTTGCATGGAAGGTCTGATTCAGGAGCAAACAACCCGTCTTAGCTCCTTGCCTCCCATGCAGCTGGCCCAGGAGCCACTGGGGAATGTGGTGTCTCAGAAGCAGGAGTGGATCCTGAAATCCCAGACAATTGTAATAACACCAGGACAGGTTATGCTGCCCGTCCCCAGCACTGCCAGAGGGAAGAGAGGATGGGTGCTGGTGCATATGGCTCACATGTGACATCTCAAGAGCCTGCCTTTCCTGAAAGCCCTCCAACATCTGGTTTCTTCTCCCAGCCCTCGGGATGGAAAGCAGAAGAAAAATCCCACCTTTTAACACAGTCTGAACATCGCTTCCATGAAAGCTTGTCTGATTTATTGAGGGTGTTGGAGCTCATTCCAGCTTCAGGAGATGCTGGAGACCAGCTCTTGCAGAGATGGGCTGGAGGCTCAGTGCTGAGCCAGTCACAGCTTGGGGGTAATTTCCTATCTGTAGGAGATTAAAATGCCTAAATTCAGAGGGCAAAAACAAAAAGGTCACAGAAGATAGAAAGGACTTCTCCCCCAACCCTTGGTGTATGCCAGCGCTGGGAGTGAGCGAGGTGGTGCCACCTCAGCCAGTGCCATCCTCATGCCAGGAGAGGGCTCAAGGGTTTTCAGCATCTTGTTCTTCTGCATCAGGGACCTGCAAGGGATACCCCAAGGGTAGCAGGCATGGGCAGATAGTTTTTGAGAGGATTTATAGAGCCTGATCATGTCCAGACGTGGTGGGGAGTCACGCAGGGAGCTGAGGAATGAGTCACCAGCAAAGCTCAGGAAGCAGAAACTGCACTGCCACCCTGGGGGGCAGCCCTGCATGTGAGGATGTTCACCTCAGGCATAGGGAAAAAACTATATGGACCATTTCTGGGATTCTGTAGACCAAACGCATGTGAGGGAGCTTGGAGGAGAAGGAGTGCTCCAGGAAAGGGAGAAGCAAGGAGGACTCCAGGCTGCAGTGCCCTTCAGGTCAGGGGCCAAGGGAAGTGCAGCCTGCAGAATTTCCCAAAATGATGGGGAAGCAGAGGCCCCTGGCACTCTTGAGTTGCTGGGGCATTTCATGGTGCCAGCCAGTGGCACAGTATCGGCTGTGCTCCGGACAAAAGGTTGGCTGGGTTGACGGCCAGCATGGGTAGATGCTTTTATTTAAATCTCTCTCTTTGTCCCGTTGAGATGAGCAAACAAACCCTCTGCTCATCCTCCTAAAGGTCATCAGAGGCGTTCCTGCTTTTGTTTTGAAAGCTGGATTGATGCCGGGGTGCAGATCCCTCGCAAGAGGGATGGGGGGGATGCCAGGGAAATACAGGAAGGAAAAGAAAAATTGAAAGGAACTAATACCACACCTTTATGCCACTAAACAAACGGGGGGCCGAGTCAGCAGCCCCCCCAGGCATGCCTGCTGTCCCCAGCGCAGAGTCCCCGCGCCGCCCCGTACCCCGCGCTGATGAAATGGAAAGTTGACCATAAATCAATGTCGGCGCTGCGTTAGCTATGCATCAGCGGCTCGGCGCCGAGATGCACCAAAACAAAGCACCGGCTGCTCCGTGTTCCCACACTGCCCCCTAATGCAGACAGCCCTCGAGAGCTGGGCAGGACGGGGGCTCCAGAGCCCGGGGGGCTCCCCCAACATCCCCTGCCATCCCCTCCTCTCCTCCCCGCGGCCTGGAGACCTCCTCCTTTGGGTGAGGTCGCCCGTGGGGTGGGGATGGTGAAGCCAGGGACAATAGGAAGGGGTCCATGTTGTCCTGCTCCCTCCTTGGATGCCACCATTTTCCCCCTGCTGTTCTGGTGTCTCAGTGGGATCTCCCACTGCTCGGCGGGTGCCACCAGCTCTGGCCAGCCAGTTCTGGTGAGGCAGCACGAGAGCCATAAAACCAGGCTGCTTTTCCCAAAATCATGGGGTAGAACTTGGTACCAGCCTGCAACAGGCAGGGTTTGAAGGAAGGTAGCCTACAAGCTGGAGGAAAGGAAAAGCAAGCATCAGAGAAAGTTTTTTCTGGAAGTTTAGTAGGATGCCCGAGGCTTTTGTACCGAGCGTCTGGAGCATATGGTGGGATTTGCAGTCAACTTTCTCTCGGGTGCTCCAGCCAGATGGAGGTGACTGTTCTTGGCTCTGGCTGACACGGGTTTGTTTCCTGAAGAGCTTGTGTTAAACATATTCCTTAAAACCAGGCTTCTGCAGTTGGGAGCCCCAGCTGCAGGCGAGGCAGAGCTCCTGCCCACGACTGCCTTTCGCTGTCTGCGGGGGGAGCTTGGCTCGCCTTGCCTCGCCTCGCTGCCTTGCCTTGCCTTGCCTAACCTCGCCTTGCTTTGCCTTGCCTTGCTTTGCCTTGCTTTGCCTTGTCTAACCTCTCCTGGGCTCACTTTGCCCTGTCTTGGGAAGGTCCTCACCCAGCACCACATGCTGGAAGTCAACTGGGGTCTTGCTCTTTGAAGGCAACTGGAGCATCTCTCCTAAAGGCTCCTTCAGAGATAGCTCTTTTTTTCCTTGTCAACTTGCAAAACATCTCTCTCCTTCAGTAGAAATAAATCTCCTCTCCAGTAAACCCAGGCATGGCTTTAATTAATATCCATCTAATTTATTTTAGTGTTTTCTAACGTCAAAACTGGCAGGCAGGGGCAAGTATTTTAAACACAAGATGCCTCCCTATTGCTAACTCGAAACCATCGGTGTCTCGTGGCAGTGATGCTTTGCCTTCTCGTACCATCCTGCCTTGTTCTGCCACCCCCAGAGGTGCTTGAAAATGTTTTTAAATAGCAAAACTCCCCCATTAGCTGAAAGTATGTAGCCCATAAAACATGATCCATTTGTGGTGAATTACGCTGGAAACATAAATTGACACACACAGAGCTATGATCGCTCGTGCCATTTTCCATCTTTAATATTTTACAAGAAGTTTGAGGAGTTGAGCTCATGAAAGACAGAGTGGAAATAACCTGATCTCCTGGAAAGTCCCTGTAGGAAGCAGCTGTGGCAGCAAACTTCGTCTGTCCAGTGGGCCAGGTTGGGCTTTTAAAGTCCCTGGAGTGTAGAGGGGAGAAAGAAATGAAGCAGGGGAGGCTGGGGCACCGACAGCTGTTGGAAACAGTTTCCTCTAATGCCATTTTAGCTGTTGGGGTTCTTTTTCGAGGCAGCTACAGGAAGATGAAGAATAACCCCACACAAAGAGTGTCCAGTTTGAGGGGAAGAAGGAGAAACTTGAGAGATTAAGGGGTTTCTGTGGCTGGGGAGAGTGCTGGTCTGGAGATGAGAGTGAAGCAACTGCAGAGCAGGTCCTGCTCACCCAGCATGGCGTGTCAAGGAGCTGTGCCTCCATCCAGGCTGGATGGAGGAATGTGGAGGGAGCAGGACAGCATGTGTTCAGCCTCCTCCTTTAACAGGAGTAGTTAATAACTGCTAAACACACGTTTCTCTAAGAAAAGAGGGATGTTCTGTTGGTTGGAGCCCACATGTCGTCTCTGCAAAACACTTGTCTGAACTGCCGTGATCCATCGGGATCATCTGCTGCTCCCTCTGCAGCGAGGCAGTCCCGTGCAAAAAGCCAACCACTCCAGCAGGCGTTCCCAGCCCAGCACAGATCCCAGCCCTGAAACATCTGCAAGTATTTATGGAGATAACAGTATCCAGAGGGACTGCTTTCTGACAGAGCAGGGCAGCCGTGCCGAGGGGGCCGCGGCGGGCGCAGCTTGGAGCGAACATTTTGGATGCTGCTGCATAGAAAAAGCAAGAAAAGCAGGAAAATTTTAAAAGCTGCTTTCAGCTCCTCCCTGCCTGCCGAAACATTTGCACGAGCTGGGCGTCACCTTATCCAGAAGTGTCCTCTGGGAATGGTACCACATGGGATAATGTGAGGGCAAGGATGCTGCGGCACCGAGTCTGGAGCATCCCGGGAGCAGCCTTGGTGTCAGGGCAGGAGCACACTCCAGAGGATGCACTCAGCAGCACAAACAATGGATGCTCCCTGGGTCCAGCTGCCACAGGGGATTTTTCTCTGGTGGAAATGCTGCCGTGTCTCATAGGTGCTTTTTCTCCAATAATCAAACATTGTTTGCTCACTAGCTCGAAATGCAGGCTCCAAGCATCACCTTCAGGCCCAGCCAGGGTGCCTTCAGGTGGCCGTGTCCCCCGTGTGTTTGGTACCTGTTTACACCTTCACCTGCTGCAGAATATGAGGGAAGGACATCAGTGCCTGGACAGCAATGACCCCCTCCTGCAGCACAAGGCAGGCATTGTGGAGGACACTGGCTCTTGCATTGATGGGGCTTGAGGTTTGGCCTCTGCCAGCCCTGATTTTTACCTTTCACTTGGTTTCATCACTCATTCACCTCTTCTGATCTTCCCTACCCCAAATCTTGCAGTTGAGATGTGTAGGAAGGGCTTTGGGGGTGTCCAGACCTTACTGGGGGATGGTGGGAGGTGTCTGCTGCCCCTGCTGCACTTTGCATTCACAGACAGAGTTAGCAACTCAGAAGCAAAAATAAGTCAACTTCCATGCCTGGAGAGGACTTCTGCTAAAGGAGGTTGATGCTGCAGTTGGAATTCAGAAGTTTGTCTTCTCCGCTCTGGTGGGACATGGATGGAGAAGGCAGTGGGGAGGGTTGTCTTGAGGTGCTGTGACCTCGTCCAGATGAGGTTGGCCAGGAACTAAGGGCAGGGGCTGGTTCCTTTTGGCATCTGGAAAATAAATGGTGGTGTAAGTGGTGGGATTTCAGCGGCTGGAGCAGAGAAGCTGGCAGGAGGCTGTTGGTTTAAATCTGCTTGGCTCCATCTCGCCACTGAACCATTGAAATTTAAAAAAAAAAATTAAAAAAAAAAAGAAGAAAAAACCCACCCTCTCACTTTATTTACATTGCACTCAAGTTTCCGCTGTACAAAAGATTTGCAGGTGCAAATATGTCCTGCCTTCATTAACTTCCCCTCCCTTTTTAATTTATGTGATTTCAATTTTCCTTCCCTGTACTGTTAATTAGGGGACCCTCTAATCAGTACCATTATCACAGTGGTATTCATGTTTAGGAAAGCTGCTAAACAAATGCTTGCAAAATTGCTAAATGGCTAATTAATGTCTGTTAATTAAGAAAATTGCTCATGGTAACAAACCATGCCATTGCTGGCAGCAGCTAGAAGGCGAACACTTGTTGAAATTAGTAACGAGGCAGGTAGAGAACATCTGCTCCGGCGCCGGTCCTGGAGCCTGCCGCCGCTTCCCATCACCTACTGACAGAGCTCCTGTGCTTTCTCTACCAATTACACCTCCTTTGACTCAAAAAATACTTTTTTTTTTCTTTTTTTTTTTTTTTTTTTTTTTTTTTTTTTTTTTTTCTTTTTTTCCTTTTCCTCACGTTAACACGCACCGGTATATCTTGCACTGAGCTCACAGTTTTTCCAAGCAAATTTTCATTTTGTGCTTTTAAGGGAAATTAAAAAAAAAAAAAAATTAAAGTGGGCGTTCAAGCCCAAAATGTCAGCGACTGCTGCATTGCAGTCTTAAACCTGCACCAACTAATGTCTCCTTTTTTCCCCTAGACATCCTTTCTTTGCTGGCAAGCCATTTTACTCTCATCCTTAGGGAATCCACCTCGAGGAAGGATGTTGCATCCCTTCAGCGTGGCGGTGCAGCCCCGGTTGTGCCGGCCAAACGCTGCCCAAGCGTGAGCTGGGACGTGCTCCTCGTCCTCTGCGCTCGCTCCAGCACCTCCAGTGAACCACGGTCAAAACACAAACCCAGAGGTGTTTCCAACCTTTGGGATGAGAGAGGAAAAAAATAC